CCTCATGGTCCAGTGCTTAAAAGAAAAAGGCCATGTAGTGGCAGTGACAGGTGATGGCACAAATGATGCTCCTGCACTTAAAGAAGCCGATATTGGGTTATCAATGGGCATTCAAGGAACTGAAGTCGCAAAAGAGAGCTCCGATATAGTTATCCTAGATGACAACTTTGCTTCAGTTGTCACAGTCTTAAGGTGGGGTAGATGTGTTTACAACAACATCCAGAAATTCATCCAGTTTCAACTGACAGTAAATGTTGCCGCGCTTGTAATCAACTTTGTTGCTGCAGTTTCATCAGGAAATGTTCCTCTGACAGCAGTCCAACTGCTGTGGGTGAACTTGATCATGGATACTTTAGGAGCATTAGCTTTGGCAACCGAAGAACCAACTAATGATCTTTTATGGAAAAAACTCCTGTAGGAAGAACTGAGCCACTCATAACCAAAGTCATGTGGCGAAACCTCATTGCACAAGCCTTTTATCAAATGACCATTTTGCTGATCCTACAGTTCAAGGGTCAGTCAATCTTCGGAGTAGGGGAAAAGGCGAAGGACACACTCATCTTCAACTGTTTCGTGCTATGTCAAGTGTTTAACGAGTTTAATGCAAGAAAGCTGGAGAAAAAGAACATTTTTCAAGGTATTCTTAAAAACAGATTGTTTCTAGGAATAGTTGGGATTACTGTTCTTCTTCAAGTGGCAATGGTAGAATTCCTCAAGAAATTTGCAGGTACTGAAAGGTTGAATTGGGTTCAATGGTGCGTATGCATAGCACTTGCTGCGATCAGCTGGCCCATCGGTTGGCTCGTAAAATGTATTCAGGTTTCTGAGACGTAGAATTCCTGCCATAGACCATTAAACAAACATCAGTGTCAATCTGACTCATGATAAAAGAAAAAGTTTTTGCTGATATTAATCTGAGTCATTGCATATACTTTTTAGTCAGTGGATCTAGAATTGTACAAATTAAAACTTTATGGAATAGTTTGTTAATAATGAAATGCTTTTATTTAACTCCAACTTTATAGCAAATCTACATCAATATGCAATTAACTAATATCAATCCAGACAACAAAGTGACTTTTTTTTTCTTTCCTTACACCCTAAAGCTTGTATGCATATCATTATGTCAAGAGTTGAGTATTGTAATTTTACACTTTCACTCTATTTTTTTAAGCAATAGTGTTTACTTTTGAGTCTTACAAAAAAATAATATTAGGCTGGCCCATCTATTTCATTTAGTCTTTTTTTGAAAAAAGCACACCCTTCCCCTGTTTTTTCTTCTAATTAATTCAATATTCTTGTTTTTTCATCCACCTATTGCAAGTAAAGAAACAAAGGGGAAAAGAGAAGGAAAACAAAGAGGTGGCTAAAGGGCAGGGTGAACTCGAGCAGGACCGGTGCTTATAGAGTAAAACATATGGTTCCAAACTTCCAAGTTTGATGTATAAATCATACTGGACTTGTATTAGAAGATAAGCCTAAAATCCAAACATCAATAAATGAAAATACTAATTTTGTTGAGTTTAACCATTCAGGTAGAAACTCTTTGACGCCGAACTTGAGCCCCAATTCATCAGATAATGTAACCAATGCTTTCACCTCTGTGGTAAGACAATCTAGACTTATATGACATACAAAAAATAAGTATCTAAAGAAAATTTTACAGGGTCTTCTAACAAAAATTCCACCTCCACAAGTTTCAAAGACCCTTTTATCATATTTTGACATGAAATAGTGCATGTACATAATCTACCACGTATACAGTATACATCCAGGTGAACTTAAAGGTAATCTAATGTCTCAATATTAGCAAGTTCTCCCCTTCATAATCCGAACTCTTGTAACAATTTTGGCATAATTACATGTGAAGAGATATGTTTGGCTTATTGCATTATAAAGTATATCTTGAAGAGGGATTTTAAATTTCCCTTATTGAAGAAAGTAAATTTCAAAATATCCCTTTGGTTGCTATTTTTAAGTGAATATGACTCGAATTCTATCTATCTTTATTATACAAAGTACCATCTTAGTGGGAATTATTGCTTGAAACAGGGCAACTGTAAGCTGTTCTAAGATTACAACTTAAGGTGCCACCCACCTTAGTCAATTCTATCATCCATTTATGTCCAACAAAATTAAATACATCTTTCCCACGAATGCGATTATTTCTTCATGGAATGGGACATCATTTAAATCAAGGCTTTGCCCTCTAAAGAAAACTACTGTAATTTGTATTCCAACAATCAAATAAAATCATATGAAATGTACCTTTTGCAAGCGAGCTTCAACTGTCATTCTAGAGGACGACTTTGCTCCTGCTGTCTTGCTTAATCTGCATTTCACAGAACATTCAGTCACTTGATCTTCAAATTCCTTGAAATACTATCAAGGATCTTTATCACATTACAACAGCCGTAGCAGTCTAGCAGGCAGTCCTAGGCTCGAGTAAGGCCAGGTGCAGTTCTAACTGCTAATATAGCTACTCACACTACAACTTTTCGTGATTCTCAGTATAACTGTTTAGCATCCTTAGATCTAATTGTCATAATTAAGTAAAAGGATTGTGGTTCTCGATTAAGTTGAACAGTTATGGCCAACGATTCTTGGAAGATTGAATGTATCAACATTACCGCATTACAGATGCATAGACAGATAAGTAGATAGGACAATTAAGCTTTTTATAAGCAGCAGGCACAATGAGGTAGGCATAATGAGGTTTGCCTAAGTCATAGAGAAATGAGGCACAACGAGGCGTGCCTAAGTGTTAGAATCCACCTCTAATCCGGTGTCAGAACACTTGGACCGTGACACTAAGCCATAGAAAATTTTATTTATAGCGCCTTAATGTGCCTTTAGCCTTTTTATACAATGGATGTATAGTTGTATACTTGTATTTATGAACAATATGAACATATAATTTTCTTGACAGGTTTGAGAACATTCTTACAAAATGTAGTCCTTCCTTACTATGCACAATGATATATGTAGTACTAAATAACAAATATAATACGAAATTAACAATCAAAGCTAATCTGAACAAATGATCAAACAACATTTCAAAAAAAAAAAAAAAAAAAAAAAAAAGTAGGCAATTCACCTAGAATTCAAGTTATGAAGAGGCCAAGAGGTTGAGGAAGGGTGCAATTTTACTGACTCTCACATGTAGGGGAGAAGAATATAGGCGGGTGTAAAATTAAACTTGTACTCAAATGGCGGCCTCAAGCCGAAATATTAGGTGCAAATTATGAGGGCTAAGATTTGGGTGGATTCATTATTTCAGATTACTTGCATAGTTGCATAGCATATGGGAATTGATTATCAAAATTTAACCAAGGTTAACTTTCAAACAAAATAAAATATATAAAAAAAATCCACTCCTCCACCAGCCAGCCAGCCACCCTCTCCCCCTCCCCTTTCACTGTCGACACCCAATTGCCTTGCCCACCGACGCAAAGGCTTCCCTCACAAGCGAACCCCAAAAACCTCCCTTCTCCGTCCCCACTACGAGCCGCCCCCAAACCCTAAACCCCCACTTGACTCGTGTTTTAGGGTTTAGGGTGGTTACCAGGTGGGGTTTTAGGGGGGGCGCAACTCGTGGTGGGAGGAACGGGAGGAGGAAGGGGAGGGGGCGACTTAGGGGTGAGGGTGGGGTGGGGGAAAGTCGATGGTTTAGGGTTCAGGGTGGGGGCTTGGGTGATGATGTAGATCGGCGCTGGGGAAGCATGGGTGCCAACAGTGGAGGGGAGAAGGTTGGGCTGATGGTGGAGGGTTGTTTTTTATTTTTACAAACAGAATTATTTAATTATTAGAAAACTAACCATGATTAAGTGTTTAATTTTTATTTTTTTATTTTAAATAGTTAACCGTATTCGAGTAATAAGTTAGATTTAACGGAAAAAACATTATTAAGGTCACAGTTGTAAAACGGTGAAAGTAGAGGGCTACCAAAGATAATCGAAAAAAAGTTAGCTACCATATTGGAAATAAGTAATAGTAGAGAGCTACCATTGAAAATTTCCGTTTTTGTTTCACGGATTGCTATAAAGTTGTTTCATTGGTAAAAGTTTGTGGGGATCGACGTTAATCTTTCAATTACAATCTAACGAATCAGACGAAATTTTTTTTTACGGTTACAACATATCGATAGACCCCCTAGCCAAAGAAGGTTGTAAATCACAGGGATATGAAAGAGGGTATGAAGAATGTACGATTTGCAACAACGATCGTAGCTTTGTTGACATGATGTTTTTATTTGATTCAATTATCATGTACTATATTTGTTATATTTAAATCTCTTTGTATATGTCATATGACTTTATATATGAATCAATTTTATTACAAAAAAAATATTCTTTTCTCACACCTACTTGAATACGCATATAAACAACTAATAATTAAAAATAATTTTACTTTTAAATATTTTTTTTATACTATTTTACACAGTTTACTAGGTTGAAATGAAGAAATGTATTGCTAAATCTATAGAGTAACTTCCAATTACTATTGAATAATAAAACTTATAAAAGACTAAGTACTACTGTATTAATTACGAGTTTATGACCAAACCCATTATGACTTGCTACCCAATCAACCTAACGTGTTTATGATTAGACCATTTACAACCCAGCTTGTTCTAATTCGTTACTCGATCAACCTAATTTGTTAAAGTCATAACTCGATTATGACCTTCTGTTCCTACCTGCAATCCGATTAACTCAATTAGTTTAGGGCCCGACTTTCAATTTTGACCCAACTCGTTCTTACCCGCTACTCGATTAACCCAACTTGTTTAGAACTTGTCTCTAACTATTTGACTTGACGTGAATTGAAAATGATCCAACTCGAATTGACCCGCTCTGTTTTGAATTGAAATCTGCTTTAATTTAACTAAATCAATTTTCAAACCGACCTAGTTTAACCCAAATTGATTATAACCCACTCTGATTACAATTTGACCCAAATAATTTTCAAAATCGACTCTAGCTAACCCCTAGCTATTTAAATTTGTTATAACCCAAAATCGATAAACACAATTTGAAATCGAACCATAGACCCGAATGGACACCCATGAGTCAAATCCACTTATCTATCAAAACTCTATTTACCAAAACATCTTCACTTCTACTATCACACTGAGAGAGTGAGAGCAACCCGGCGTTCCAAAACCCCCAATCCTCCGGCCTCCATTTCATCCCCCCTCTCAAACAATCCCCAAACTTCACCACAAAAAAAATCTTAACACCCACTTCAACTCCACCCCCCTAAAAGAAGCGGGAACCTTGAAAACCTCCATTAACAACAATGGGAGCAAGCAGTGAACCATCATCAATGAACCCAGAACCCTTCTCCTCCGACGACCAACAAAAACAACGCTCCGAAATCTACACTTACGAAGCACCATGGCACATCTACTCCATGAATTGGAGCGTTCGTCGCGACAAAAAATACCGTCTCGCAATCGCCTCCCTCCTCGAACACTCCCAAAACCGCGTCGAAATCGTTCAACTCGACGATTCCACCGGCGAAATCAAAGCTGACCCTTCTCTCTCCTTTGACCACCCTTACCCACCCACCAAAGCAATCTTCACACCCGACAAAGATTGCTCCAAACCCGATTATCTCGCTACTTCCTCCGATTACCTTCGAATCTGGCACATCAATTCAGATTCCAACTCTGTTGAGCTCAAATCTCTTCTTAATGGGAATAAAAATTCCGAGTATTGTGGTCCTTTAACCTCGTTTGATTGGAATGAGGCTGAACCGCGTCGTATTGGGACTTCTTCGATTGATACGACGTGTACGATTTGGGATATTGAGAGGGAAACTGTTGATACTCAATTGATTGCGCATGATAAGGAGGTTTATGATATTGCTTGGGGCGGTGCTGGGGTTTTTGCGTCGGTTTCGGCTGATGGGTCTGTTAGGGTTTTTGATTTGAGGGATAAAGAACATTCGACTATCATTTACGAAAGTTCTGAGCCTGATACTCCTTTGGTTAGACTAGGGTGGAATAAGCAAGACCCTAGATATATGGCTACTATTATAATGAATAGTCCTAAGGTTGTTGTGTTGGATATTCGGTTTCCGACGCTTCCGGTGGTGGAGTTGCAGAGGCATCAAGCTAGTGCTAATGCTATTGCTTGGGCACCTCATAGTTCTTGTCATATTTGTACTGCTGGTGATGATATGCAGGCTCTGATTTGGGACTTGTCTTCAATGGGGCAGCCTGTGGAAGGTGGGTTGGACCCCATTTTGGCGTACACGGCTGGGGCCGAGATTGAGCAGCTTCAGTGGTCGTCGTCTCAGCCTGATTGGGTTGCCATAGCTTTCTCTAATAAGCTTCAGATTCTCAGGGTTTGATTGGTAGAGTAGAAAATTGATTGGAGATAAGTATAGCATATAATTAATTGTTTATGGAAGGAAAAAATGTTATTTGGTTGTTGCTATTGTGTTTCTGTTGTGTTTTGTGCTTAATAATGTTGGCATAGTAAGGTAGTGTTTAGGTTTGGATGATTAGTGACTATGTTATGATGTTATGTTTAGCATAGTTAGTGAGTCTTTGATGAATTGTGTTCTGTTTGTTTGACTGTATTGGAAAAATAAAAGTAAAAAAATGTGGTGTGATGTTGCAGAACGAAATTATAGACTAAAATAGGACATCGATATTGTTGCTGATTATGTTTGGGATTAGTATACATGTGACATAGAAAGAATGGTTGTCCTAGAAATGAGTTGAATTTAAACACGTTGAGGTGTGTTGTAATGTTGAAGTTGGACTGATGCTGAAATCTGAAAGCAGTTGCAAATTTTAAAGTTTGCTTCTTCAATGCTTGTTTGTAGTTACAATGGATAGATTATCTGCTGTGCTCTTTGATGCTAACCTCACTAAGCTTGAGTGGCTGAAGCATATAAATGTCATGGATTACCAGTTTCTGGTGGAGGTTACAATTTACTGAATGCCCTGGGAATATGTTTCAGTTTTCACTGATGTGCTACATGCTGTTGTTACTTGTAATATTTGCATGTTGCCGAACCGCCTATAAGTCTATAACTCGACTATGCTCAATTCTGTTGCTGAAGCCTGAAGTGGACTATAGCTTGAAGATGCTCAATTCTATGTTATTGCCTGGCCTACAATGCCCTGCACCATCACATCCGGCCACATACGAGTATCATACCATGCCCAATAACCAGGCTAGCCATGCCTTTTGGAGTTATGTGGCAGTCAATTCTTTAACCACGGATTTTAAAATTTATGTCTGCGACCTGTCTTGATTTGGTCATCATGCAGCCATTGTGCCTCGTCTGCCTAGCTCAGATTTAAACTTGTGCGTCCTTGTGAGAGCTACGGTGTATTAATTAAGCCTGTGTGTATTGTTATTACTAACGTATGCGACTATGCTCTCATTAAATGTGTATTATTCCCTTTAATCATCATCGACTTCTGTTAATAGTATATGATATCGGAGTTGCTTGATGATGTAAATGCCAGTTTTCATACTTCTCTTGCTAGTCAGGACTGCAGGAACTTTTTTTTATTTTTTATATTTTTTATATGAGAGAGGAGTGCAGGAAGTCCTTGATACGGAGAACTTCCGCCGTTTTTTTTTTTAAGTGCCCCATTGGCAATTTTGGCACTATTCATTTGATCTACTTTGATTAATGTTTGTGATTTATACGTAAAAAAAAAAAAAAAAAAGCCTTGTGGATACTTGTTAGATGTTCAATTGTTGTAAATTATATTTAATGATAATTAAAGAAATAATTGATTAAAATTTTGTATCGACATGCATGTCAGGTTAGTATGTCACTATGGGACACTTAAAAAAAAAAAAAATATATATATATATATATATATATATATATATATATATATATAGAGTATGTAATTTTGTTGCCATCAAAGGTCCATAAATGAGGCTAGATAGAAACAAAGCTCTGCAGTAAAACGGTTAATCCTGTTGATTAAAATTGAATTTAACAAGGATCGATGGATGGAGATTAGTGTGGCTTTTATTTATGCTGCTATGCATCGACTGGCCGTGATGGAGCTTGAAGTTTTGTGGCCAATCAACCAAATTGATAATCGTATAAATATAACTGAAAATCCCTTTGCCAAATTGGTCGTCAATTTGTTTTTTTTTTTCTTTTGGTGTTTAGAGAGTTATAAGGGCGGGTGACGATAATTGATACTATCTCCTAAAAGCTGTCAATTGTGATAATTGTATTAACGTTTTTATTTGAACTTATATATTCTGAAATTGTTTTATTTGTGCTTTTGTATAAAATTGTTTGAGAAAAATAATTTAAATCTATTTTGTCTGAACTTATGTGAAGTTATGAACTACTCCATACTTGTTTTTATTAAGTTAGGATGATTTAAAATAAGATGAGAAAGGAAGACCCTTGGCATTATATGACAAGCTAATTCCCTTTGGTAACATTGAAATTTTTAATTTTATCAGTGGTGAATTGCAAAAAAACTTATTATCTTTGGTAAACTCGTATTATTGTTTACCAAAGATAATTACAATTTTAATTAAAATCTTTAACAATGGTTAGTTTTTATATTATTTTAACAATTAAATTATATTATTTTAGAGATAATTTTTTTTTAGAAAAAAACAACTACCCTTTCCCCACCAAGCCAGCCAGCAACCAGCCACGACCAGTGTCCCATCCCCTTCCCTGAACGGCGCTGTAGGCATCATTTGAAGCACGCCTACTTAAGCATGTTGTGAGTATGCTTGACACTCAAAGGAAGTGGGAATTAACATATACGATTAGGGGCAAAGCAAAGTAGGGAGCCGCCAACAAGTTTTATAAGGAACTTGTAAACCGTTCACGGATCATTATAAGGCAACCGTGATTAAGGGACAACGAAGGCAACAACGATTGACTCGTGAAGGTTACACCCAATTCATAATCCATGAGATTACTAATTCCATATGGTTCAGAACCACGAAAGGAGGATCGGGGATGATGGTACGAAATGAGTCATGGAGTCACATTCGCCCGTATTGGCCTCTACTTGATTCTTATTGTGAAAGGAATTCCTGCGATCTCAAAGGCATACAAATAGGCTAAATTGGTTGAATGTTAATGCAACATATAATTATAAAATATCATGATCACTTGATTAAACAACAAGATTAAAAAGGAACCTAAGTCGGTCGTCCAAATAATCTTAATAGTCGTTATATTCAATTACATATTCCCTTTAACATGCAATATGGTGATCAATAAATATAATAGAATAAACATCAACATTGGAAGCAATTTAACCATAATAATAATGATTAGTACATGACAAACACAACAAAAACCGTTAGAAATATAAGAGGAACAAAAGAACACGATTCCTTACTTTGATTGCGTTTTCTTGCAATTATAATACAATAAACGCGGTAGTAACTTCAAGGAAAATAAATAATATAATGGAAATTAAATCAAATGAAAGTAAAGTTGATTTTGGGCCAAACCCTCAAACAGTTCTACCTTTCACGCCTTGGTTTGAATTTAGAAGTTCGGGTAAAGTATGGACACGGTACATGTTGCCATGACATGACAAAGCCTTTCGTTGCGCGACAATTATGTCGTGACACGATAAATGCCTTGTCTGGAATTCCGTCTAAACTCATTTTTATCTTTTTATTAATCATTAAGTACGGGATAATTTAGACGTCGTTTCATTGTTTCGGACTTATTTCATGTTTAGGGTTTTAATATTTATTAATCGGGCTTAATTAGTAAATGAAATGAAATGGATTAAAATGGTTTGGGCTGAAATGAGGGTTAGACTATGCTTTGACTAAATACTTGGACTGATCTATTGACTGATTTGTAAAATGTGTTTGACTGAATATGGATTTTAAGCGCTCTCAAGATTAAATACTCGACCCGACCAATAATGGCGGTGAAAGGTTGTTCATCATCGGGTTTGGTTTTGGGGAGACATTTTTAGATGTCTACAGAAGCCCCCACTTTGACTGAGTTTGTAGAAATGTGAGTTTCGAAAACGATAGTCAAAGTAGTCGATTGGGACGGAGAATGATTTAACACGTTCTACGATCCTAAACCACTTTGTCTATGCTGATACCTGCAGAAAAGCGTTAGTTTTACAAATAAAAGAGCAAAGGGATAGAATGCGTATTTGACACCCTTGCGTCAGCAGCAAACACGTTTGGTAGTTTTCAGCGCCTCGAGAAATCCACCAGATGATAGTTTTCCGCGCCTCGAGACCCCTATCGGGAATCACTGCCTCTCGAGCAATCCACTAGATGCAAGATGACAAGTTTGCGTGCCTCAGGAAACAAGTCGTAGATTCCTACGCCTCGAGCAATCCACTGAATGATGATCTTCCGCACCTCGGGAAGATTGATGTGCGATAGTTTCCGCGCCTTTGTGCCTCGAGTAGCTCACAAGTGAAATTCCATACTACGGGATTAACATTAAGTGTTCGCGCCTTTGGACACAATCGCCGACCTCTACGCCTCGAGAAGTATGCAACGATTGACCATTTTCCGCATTTGGGGAAAACCCTAGATCTACTGTATTTCTCTCGCTTCTCTCTCATTTTCGTCCTCTGTTCTCTCTCCTCAGTGAAACCCTAGTTCTCTCTCTGTTGTCTCTGTTTAATTTCTGTGAGAATGAGTTCCAAAAAAGCGAAGAAAGAGTCCCAAATTCGTCCAAAAAAGGGTGAGGAATCCACTCTGTACATCGCCCGTAGAGGATCTGGTGTTATGAAACCAGTTCGTCGCTGTTCTTCTTCGTTTTCTCGTTACTCTGGAGGCAAAATTGGGGCGAAATTATATTTTTCAAGCGACGAGGAGGAAGTTCTGGAAGTAGATCCGCTTAAGGCCGTCCCTGTTCCGGCGGAGGTGGTGGCTGAACTACCTCCTCCTGCTGTTGAAGTTGTCGCTGCTGAGAAAACGACGAATGAAAGCCCCAAAAATGCTGGTCATGACGTCGTGGTGACGTTTGAGAAGGTTTCAGGCGAAGGGGCGTCTCCACGGGGACAGAAGCGGCCTCAATCTATCTGGAAGGACGACTACAGTGACTGGGATCCCTGCTACATGGCATATTTGAGGGACAAGTACCCTCATGACTTTCCCCCAGATCTCTGAGTTTGCAGCGTAACTATTACTAAACCCTAATTTAATGAATTTTGCTTAAATATGAGTCCCTTTGACTGATTTTGGGTTGTGATATTCATTGCTTGTTTGTTATTGTTGGGCAAAACTGTTGTTGTTTGGTTGTAGTTTTTGAGTTGATTTTGTTGATTTCGAATTGGCATTGTTATTGATTGTGATTATAAAATGGGGGTGTTTGGTCGTCTGCTTATGTTGGTTGAAATTGTTGCTTTGGGTAAGGGAACTTTGTTGTTCTAAAGTTATATTGGGCATTTCACTTGAATTCATTGGCTGCATGTTGTTATGGTTATATTGTGAGCATGAATTGCTTGGCTTGTGTGGTTTTTTGATACTGCCTCTCAGTTGGTTGGCTTGTGTGGTGTTTTGTTACTACCTCTCAGTTGGTTATTGTTGATATGAATGTGTGGGTTGGTTATTGTTGATATGACTGTGTGGGTTGGTTATTGTTAATATGACTATGTTGGTTGGTTATTGTTGACATGACTGTGTGGGTTGGTTATTGTTGAGATGAATGTGTGGGTTGGTTATTGTTGAGATGAATAACCTGTGGAATATCTGTTGCCTAAGAGTCCCCACAGTTTGAGTCACTCCCTGCCATTGGTATTTTGTGATGATGCATTGAGTCCCTTTACCCACATTGCATCATAGATGTAGGTTTTCCATATGATGAAGGGACTCTTATGACTTGAGCCCATTACTTAAGGGAGCTCCAACATCTTCTAACAGAGGGTGTTGTTGAGGTGCCTGTTAATAGTGGCTTATATGGTTAAACCAATCCCATCTGATGGAAAAAACAGACAATAACCAACCCATACTTTAAACACATTGTGTACTTGTTAATGCTATGATTTCATTTGCCAAAAAAAATTGTTGATTGTACAAAGTTCCATTTCAATAATAAGTACCTACTAAGACTGCCTACCTACTATTTTTAACAAAATACACCTAACCATTACAAAACATACAAAAACTTAGTTTTCAACTTAATGGTTATGTGTGGCAGTCTTTGGTCTTCTGACTTGCCCTCTCATGTTTCACAAAAGGGAACAACCCATACTTCCCTGAGTGAATAAGTGTCCCATCTGCATCATAAAGTGGTTTGCCCACCATTCCCATGAACATTGCCTTTATCTTAAACCTTTTAGACTGTTGTGCTCTGTATGGGACCTCTTCATTTGGGGTAAGATAGAAAGTCCTTGTCTCTGGGTTTAGGTAGAACCACTTCTCATCAATGTGTATGTGATGTTGCATATCCATAATTGTAGGATCCCCCTCACTTGGAAT